AAGCAGCGCGCCGTTATCCGTCGCACGACGCTCTGCAAGAACACTGTTCGCGAATATGAACGAGAATATGAGTGAACAGAAACAGCTCCTGCCTTCCATAACCTTGTACCTTTTTGCAACCGTCGGGATTATTCTAGGAATAAAAACAATTTCATACTGCAACAACACTCGCGTTAGCTTTCAAGTCAGGTCTGGGAAAGACCGTAAATTGTCCAAATGGATCTTCGCATCGCGCTAATGGAAAAAGTGTTTTATCTCGGCGGTGTAATTAAGACGGAATAAAAACTTGAAAAGATAAAATACCATTCATTCCCCAACTTCCAAGAAGATTTAAATGTGCAACGTCCCGAAGAAGTCACCAAGCGATCATTCGGAGAGTTTCAGCGCATTCAGGATTCTTAAGGATCTATTTTATGTGAAACTGCATCGTCCCAGCGGGAGTCGTACAAAAGGAAGGGTGGGCAGTCGAGGTCACAGGTAAATGCAATCGTGACAAAATTTCAAGGAATTGTGCATTTTGAACGCTCCTCTAAAATCAAACGATAAATCATCACATGCACTTGGAGGTGCAGCGGCAAAGAGGTTAGAAAAGTAGTCAAACCTCCATTTGTCTCTCTGTCACTGACCTTTTTGATGGAACGCCAAATCAGAACACCGACTCATGCTCACATGTTCTTATTCTTCTTCCAACTGAAAGACGGTATTTAAAGGAATAAGGTTTTAATTAGTCCATTAAAAGTCTAAAACGAAGAGCAAGTTTAAAAAGCACTCCAGTTTCTTACAAAGGGTCCTACGACAAACAGTAAACACGTTCGTGATGGTAGTACATAGGTGTATAGATTTGAGGTCCAGATATTTTGTCGCGTTCATTATCCCCGAAGAACAGTGGGCCATTTTATGGACCGAAATATATTTGGAGTGACGTCTCGGAAACTCCCTCGTTCCCATCAACAGGGTGATGTGTTGGTTCTTCCTTGACTGCTTCAGCCGTGATGCTAGCCGCACGAACGTTGACCTGCCCGTTCGCTGCTGATTAGTATTGACCTCTCTGAGATTGGCCACCGGGGGGCTCGCGTGACTACTGTCCATTTTGCGGCCGTCGTACTTATTGGCAAGTCAACGTGCTTGTTGGCCTTCCCCTCGTCAGCCAACGGACTGATCACTTTTCAGTGCTCGTGTCAGTCGATTTCGGCGTGAAGTATAAGTGTTCGCGTGAGTGCGACAGGCGCTTCGAAAGTCCGCTTCATCAGGAACTACGTCACTCGCAAGTCACCGGTGTTGTGCGTACTCTGTGACGCACGTCATGGACGTTAGCGCTCGCGACGATCGGACTGCGAGGAAGACTACTTTATAAGCGATTTAATCAATCCGTACGTGCATAGTCGTATTCTGATTGCCGGGTGGGTCATAGGCGATTCCGTTCGCTTTACAAAGTATTAGAAGTGCCAGGAAGTGATGTCTGTTTTGTGTGGTCTTAGTTTGCACGTTACCTGTTAAGTATTTAAGCCTGCTCCATTTGGACTATGTACCATTGTAAGTCAGTTAGGTCTTGTTTTAGATTCTGATGTAGATTTTGTTTCTTAGATCGGGTTTAACGAAACGGGGGTCATAAAGTCCGAAGGCAGTCGCGTTCGTCATTGTATGTTATGTGGATTTCCCAAAGGGAAACAACTCAAAAACAACAGCAACAACACTCAAAACAACCTTCTTTGTTTATTCGAATGCTATAGATGCCTGCAGATGCCAGCGCTGGTTAGCGGAACTCCAATCGGGTTAGGTTGACCTCCTCAATGACCATCGTCTGGAAAGACCAATACTTACTTGTACCTGATACGGCTGCGATCATGCCTGATTTAGCCGGCCTCGATGATGTCACGAACTATACCTCTCCACGCGTGACGATCGGCGGCAGCAGATCTGGACAGCTCAACCCATTCCCTTCGCCAACGATGTAGACCGAATACCGAAGGTCCAAGAACTACCTCCATGTACTGACGAACTGTGTCGAGCCAGGTTTTGAGCTGACCCCCTCTTCGACTCCTCCAATGGGGCAATGGTGCCGGATCGAGGGCGGTAACACTGAGCTCCTGAGGTGGACGACGAAGAACATGCCCGAACCACCTCAGTCGTCTTTCTTGGATGGCCTGAGTTATCCTTGAGATGTTGTCGCAGCGAGCGCGGACTGTCTCATTTGAGACGAAGTCGGTGAACTTCACTCGAAGGATGGTCCTCAACCAGTGGTGGTCAAATACTTCCAGTTTTCGCTCGTCCTCCACGCGCAAAGCCCAGCATTCACAACCGTAGAGAAGGACAGACCAGACAGATGCACGGTACACGCGAATCTTTGTGGCGATGGAGAGGTCACGTCGGTTCCACAGGCATTTCCGAAGGCTTGTGAAAACCCAGCGGGCAGCATCGATTCGGGAGACATGAATCACAGTACTACTGGAAAGACCAATGACACTATATAATGACTTTTTGCGCACAAACGCGGCAAAACCTCGGCAGACTAGCGAGAACTCATTAGAAGGACTAAATTTCTCGTGTCCCACTATTAAAGAACATCTTCAACTTTTAAGGTAGCTCAGTAGGCAAGGAGCTTGAGACCACTGCCAAATTTTGATCAAAGAAAACAGACAGAAGTGTGTACCATTTCTTCATCAAAGTAGATTCTTCACATTAGCAACAAACGCAAACGCTACTGGCTTTTCACATCAGTTCCTACATCCCAAGAATGCCTTGATGTGCGTTTCATGGAGTATGGCGCGCATACTTGACTTTGAGAAATTAGAACAGGATCGGGCCGTAGCAGCGGATCTCTACTTTCAACATTTAAAACCTCTGAACCAGGTTCATGTCGTTAAACATCTAGCATTAGTAAATACGATAGACATCATTCTGCTGTATGACACCTCGAGACCTCATTCGGCTCGATAGATCTAGAACAAGGTTCGAGGCGTGGGATGGGAATTTTCGTCGCCTTCACCTTATTCACCCGATTCTGCGCCAACTGATTATCATTGTTTCAGAATTTCGCAGCACTTCCTGAGCGGACAAGCTTTTAGAAATGTCGATAATATAAAAAGCACCTTCGCAGAATGTTTTACATCAAAACGAACGGCGAGGTTTTGTCCTGCAGCCCTTCTTGATTGGTTAGCTTAATAAAACAATTTTAGCAGATGCGTTTATGTTGGCTTTACATATATCACGTGACTACGCCTTCCGTTCTATGTGAATCCGACCAGCGACTGTGCCTCGGGGTGGGGAATGTGCTTATACGCCAACCTCCGCTACATCGATTATCGATAAACACGGGCTTCCCTGTGCGTGCCTCTAGCCCTGCTTGCTCCCTCTCTATTATCTCAATCCAGCGATTAGCTAAGTAGGTTTGCTAATGACATTGTTCGGGGGGGCTGAGACTTCGTCCATTCCACTATAGTGACCATGTACTGCGAATTGACACGCGCGCGGTCCCCTCCGTGGTCTTCCAGTTGTGATTGCACTCTATTCATTCTCTTAATCTAGCGAGTAGCTGTGCCGCGTTGAGTGTGTACACGTCACCTTCTGTTACACCAGGCATCGGTTCACACGCGCTTCCTTGCATGTGCTTCGAGCTCTGCTTGCAATCTCTTCCCCTTCCTAATCCATTGACTGGCCAAGATTGGTATGTTAACTAAAATTGTCTTGGGAAGCTATCCATATGGCATCAATCAAGTTGGGCTGCAGGACCAAACCTCGCCCAAACAAACTTCCATTTGAATGAGGTTGGAGTAGCGAAACTTGTTTTCTTCGTCGCCTTTATCTTGACCAAATTTTTCCGGAAAATAGTGCTTCATATTAACCTTCATAAAGCGATTATTTAAAATTTGGTTCCAAGATGGACAGCAGTGATAGGTAACGATGGTGAGTATGTAAACGATCAGAAAATAAAACGTTTTCCGGTAAATGGCACTACTTTTTGACTTTTCTTATAAGTCGATAGACCTCTCGGACGCTTCTCTTGCGAATTGCTACCATCAACGGCGAATGGCCGGTTTTGGCCATGGCCCACTCCTGGCCACAGAGGAGCTGAGATTTGAGTGCCAGTTCGTTTACCTCCCGGCATCTGATCCAGGGCCTCAAGGATTGTTGGGTGCACTACGGAATATTCATCCCACGGAAGTGGCGTTCAGTCATGCCGTACATATTCCCTCCTCCAATAAGAATGCCTAGGTGAGTCCGTTAACAGGAAGGAGCACCGTCTCGTCTGTCCAATAGCTCTCTGGAAAGGCGATCGAACACCATTTTAGTGACTTAACCACAACACATACGAACACCGTCGAAATGCCATTTATAGTGAAATCAAATATTTCTCGGGAAATTTGTAAGCTATCATAGGGAATCGGTCGATTTTTCTTCACGAAAAACCGGGAAAAAATCAACTCGCAATGTAACTTGACCGCTTTGAATAAAATACTAAAAAACCATCTCATACCCAGAAGCATGTTTTGTGTATTCGGCTTCTGTCCTAGCAACTGACTGTGTAATTATCCCTCTAATAATTGTGCGTATCTTCCTCGTGTTTTCCACGAAGTGAAGTATGCACTCTTGCGGCGAGGAACTCAAAAAAGGTTCAGAAAAGTGAAGTAAAATTTCAAAAGCATTAGTGTTGGCACTGAGCAACCGTGAAGTATCCCGATAACCGTAGATGAAGTATGCAACGAAAGCACACTAACCGTCTCAAGTTTCTGTTGGTGCGATGGTTCAAATTTCGGAGTAGTCATTTCCAAACAGTGCTCTGATAGTGGCGTACAGGCCATGCCACTTAGTTCATTTACGAGATGCCATTGAGAAACTGCGTCTTGTTGCCCCAAAAGGGTTGTTCTACTGACCCTAGTATTCCAGACAGCAAAACTTTCTACCTCGTGCTAAAACTCAGCAGCAGAGCCGGGGATCACGTGTTGAAGCACCTCTGACCGTTACTTCAAGACAGGGAAAAGTATTTTCCACGTATTGAACTGTCAGTAGAGGCGAAAAGGCGAGTCCCAGGAAGCAGTCTTGAAGAAGAAGAAGAAGAAGAAGAAGAAGAAGAGGAAGAAGAAGAAGAAGAAGAAGAAGAAGAAGAAGAGGAAGAAGAAGAAGAAGACACGATCGCCAGCGATCGTGTCTTCTTCTTCAAGTATTGAACTGTCATGACGAGGCATGATAGTTGACAGTTCGACAGCGGTAGTTTGAGTGACGCCACTTACCTGTTGGAAAACTGTGAATCGTGTCATACAGGAATGATTAAAATGGGGGTTTTACAAGTGGGACAGCACGCCGGACAGTAAGCTGGTGAAATACAAGAAAACACAGAAATTGTCTGGATTTCTGCCGAAAGTTTTGGCGTACGCTTTTATATGGCAACGGAAATGAGGAGGTTAATCAAAAAAACAAATAAAGGGCAAGTTTTCAAAAATAACGGAGTTGGAGCGCTGGTTTGAGATCACGAGAAGCAATTGTTGTTGGCATTATAATGTCTAAAATGACCTACAAGTGGATGCCAAGATAAAACCCCGTATGAGACGATCCACAGTCTGTCGACGGTTAGGCGGGGTACGTCACCCTATCGTTGCCGGCAGTTCTTGCGAAAATAACCGAGAGCTGGAGACCGCGTGTTGATCACTTCACGAACTCGATGAAAGCAGTGTAGTTATATAACTGTATTTATCAAAAGTAGAGCACTCATGGGAACAGGCAGGGTTGTCAGGGGGGTCTTGAAAGCTTCGCATTAAAAATAGGCTAATTGTGACAAATCAACCATACCGCTGGTACAAGAATTAAGTAAAACAACTCAACAGGTACGCCGATACATGGCGAAAGATGAGTGGGACGCGGTTCATAAGTCTCCCCAGGGTCAATCATGAACTTCTTAGTATATATACAAGCTGGCAGTACTGAAATGTTTGATTTCCTTAACAAATGATACAGTAACATGAAGAAAACCTTTTCAGACAAAAACCTCTCCTTTTCAGTCAAAAACTGATACCGATATTTATAAACCACCGACGAAAACAACAACCCTTCAGTTCACTAACACAAATCAACACTCAGGCCGAGCTTACAGAGGTCTGACACGACTAATATGACAAAATTGCGTGCACTAAGTTCTACGAAAACTGAAAACAGTTCATTTATCATATTGATTTCGACCCAGGCAACGCTGCTGATTCGACGTCCCACACGTCCCTTACGTGTGTACTGGAGGGGATCCGCGGAAATTGTTATATGAAGGTGATGGATGCTTAGCTCAACTATTCAAGTCAACACACGGATCGAGCCTACAAAGGTCTGCCACGATTAACGTACCAAGCCTGTGCGCACTACGGGAATTGAGAATGACCGGTAAGGACGTACACATATGCACACAGCCCATCTCTCCTTCCTATGTCAGCTCAGGAAAAGCTGGTGGTTCGAATTCCCACAGCGCCTGACAGGATTCTCATGTGTCTGTCTGGGGATCCGCGGAAGGACGTATAGTTCACTGATGAGAGGGGAGATTGTCATATGAGGGTTCATATTTCTCTCAAAAATTCAGAGAAAGTGCTGCTATGTTTAGCTGGGGAATCTTGAACTCAAGGCTGAAAGCGTCCAGTTCATTGCACTGCACGGCAAACGCCATCGACTGCCAATAATACGACAACTACCTAGCTGACAATATAATCAACTACTCGTCAACGTCCCCCATCTACCAACGCGGGCTGTATCACTCACGCAAATGCTCCTCGATTAGGCAAACACCCCTGTAAACTAAATTGGTCAAAAAGTCTGCATATAATCCATTCATACTGCATATATCGAACATCCAACCAATAAACACAAAAAAGAGGGAAACTGAAGGCTGATTGGTTACAGCACTGTTCACAAGTGTTCAGTTAATGACGGCGCCACGTGAATGGCGCCAGCCGTGGACAATAATTTGGCTTAAGAATTAAAGCAAACTGCCCATTCGGGGCGGTCAGCATACACCGCCTCCTGATCACGGGGTGTTGGCTACATAAGCTTGGGGATATGAGATCGCACAGGCGACATCCTTGTCAGCACATTGGTACATGTAAGTGAACGCTATCGTAGTGGCCACGCGAGAGGCCTCAGTTGCGCACACGTGGTATGGGTAGGACAACCCAGGTGAACGCTGTTCAGCCCTGCCGGCTGGTCTTCTCACTAAGTTTGCATTAAGGTCCACCAGTTCGACCCGCACACAGCCTTCCATCGCAAATGTCACAGACAGGCGCACATTAACGCAGTCTGCATCATCAACTGCTCGTCACAATGAGAACGAAAGATGCTATGATTTCCAAACAGTGTCTGCATTTCAGTAGTCAGCAAACTTCCGCTAAGAACCTGACTTCGACTCCGCCTTATTCATTTGCTTGGTGTGCCGCTCTGGAATCGCAAAGTGAAAAAGAGCATCGGCTTTCGGACTATCTATACTTCAAACGTGCTCCGGTCTTGTATTCAGACGGACCAATGCGTCCGAATGTACATAGTCAGAGAGCGAGTTTGGCGTACTGTCTACATCGTTCTTAACACTCTACGATGAGTAAACACCTCGTCTCGCCTACAAGCAGTAAGAAATGTCGGGTATCGGCTTAACGGGCACAGTATTGGCGAATATAACAGATGCTTCCAAGGAGATATACCCCTGATCTCCTACCACTACCCCCTAGTGTCGTCATAAAGAATTCGCCGGAATTATCCATTTGGTTCGGCTGGCCAATTCACAATGAGAACCGTGTTTATGTGTGGAATGTGGACAACTCCGCACTGACAACTCGATCCACAGAGTCAGAAGATGGGGGAGGAGGATGGTTCTATTGTGGATGGCGTCTGTCGCACGGTGCTACCATTGTACACCTACCCCAATGCACGCGTCCGTTTAGGAGACGAATGTGAGAGGGTGGTCCTCCTTACTGAGTGAGGAATCGAAGGTGATTGATAGCAGGCGCCAGCAGAAATGAGTGACTGTTGTGAGTGCGAGGGGCGCTGGAGGCGCGAGTGGCGTTAAGTTCGGTGGGAGGTAAGTCACCAGTGGTGGTGGCGTTGAGGGATGCTGTGAACCCGTGGAACTGCAGATGACTGTGGATGGTGAGGGGCGCGGAGCGTGCGGCTTTGTGCATGGAGCAACAGTTGATCATTCGTATGTTCACGGCTCATTTTTCCAACTCATGCCGGCCCAGGCAAAGTTAGTGACGGCCCTCCCCTCAGAGCGTCCCACGTTTTCCTCATACGCCATTTCTACTGTATTCATGAGTTAACACTTGGCCGTTGGAGCAAATCCATTGGACGAGCTCAAAAGCCGCCTGATTGGTTGAGCCCTCTGCAAAGTGATATCAGAGAGCTCGCTGTTGCAAAATTTGTGAGCATTAATCATCTACCGGCTGCTGGTCTAAATGCAGATGCACGCGTAAGGACAACTGTTCTTTTTGGCGGGACGAGAGTTCGGAGGAGGCGATTAACCCTACGCTGCCTTGTTAGCGGGCGGGTGCTAATGCTGCCTCCCCCTCCCCGGCACTGATTCAGTCTGCGACAGTCCCTTCGCTGCCACTATCCAAAAGAGTTATCCTTCACCTCGGCCTGAGTCGTATTACAGTGAATCTCCAACATACTCCTCTATAGAGTTTTAACCACCCTACTCATCTCCACCAACACTCGAAGCCTACCCTCATAAAGAACCGATTATCTAAGGATCAGTGTGCACTTATCCCATCTGCTCTTTAGTCTGATATAACAGACTACCGCCTACTGACTATGCCTCATTAGAAAGCGCGTCAAAATTTTTTCCGGTCGGTGCTTAGTAGACCTCGACTCACAATGCGTTTTCCGTCGCCCAAAGTACAGCTTCTTCTCGCATCACCTTGCATTAGCTGTTGGTTAAAGCGTTAAACTCCAAAGGCCGCCTTAGCTCCGCTTTGAGATTTCACATTTTTGTTTGAATTTTGTGCATTTGGAGATTATTTGAATAACACTACGGGCTAATTATGCGTTCGGCTGCAACAACCTTTTGCGATAACACTAACAAACTGTTCATTTATACTGATTCAACTGTGAAGAACTCGGCGCCTCGGTGGGATTCGAACCCACGCAGTAAGGAGAAGGCTTTAGTATAGTCAACGCTCTAACCACTTCAGCCACGAGGCCCCGCCGGACGACTCGAGTTTAATCACATTTGGGTCAAGTTTACCCGCCCAACCTACTGCAACGTCTGGAATCCACCAAATCTGATACAGTAAGTTGACTGTAAGTTGACTTCCTAAGTAATTCACCTAGAATCCACCAGATGACTTTCAGGCTCACGTAATTCAGGTATTTTGGTAGATTTTGAATAATTCCTACTGGCCCAACTGTGAAAAACTCGGCGCCTCGGAAAATGTTAATTACCGAGACAGATCTCTCTGATAAACAGGATATTCGGCGGATAAATGAGTATGCCGATCAATGTCGGTTAACTGAAAGCATCGTTATAACGCATTATTTTCGTCCGAAACAATGCGCTTTCTTCTGAAGTATTTTTTACGAAATTTTCACAACTCCTCGACATGTTGTGAGCTCCAGGGTGATATATCATCAGTAAATTAGTATCTAAAATCCTCTCAAATTACTTGAAAATAGGCATTTCAAGGATATTTTGATATACTGGAGCAAAGATCCTACCAAATTTCAAGAAGTGATGCCCAGTAATCCTCTACTGAGCAAAGAAATATATTTGTCGGAAAAATATGCGCCATATCGAGCTCCTGAAGGACACAGCCTTGACGTTTTACGGCAAAAAAAACGTCCATGGCGGTGAAGATCTCGTACTTGGTGAGCTCAGTGTAGCTGCCGGTATTACGGATGACATTCTCCAGGAAGATCCTGAGAACACCGCGGGTCCCAATATAGATGAGGCCAAGGGAGCGCTTTATGTCACCTCAGCGTGCAAGATGGTGGATATGGTCATAGAGGATCTTACGATGAGGCTTGACTTCTCCTTGCCGCGACCAGACATGATTAGGAATACGCTCCGTCTAGGACTATCTGAATAGTGCGGGCTGATAGCACGAACTCTCTCCTACTTTTTTAGTCCTCGTCGAGGTTCCCGCGCCACAAAGCAACAGAAGCCAATTGAGGTTAAGGGTTTAACACGAACGGTTCCAGAACAGACGCTGCTGCCCTCAGGGGGTCTCTGAGAACGCGAACTGCCTATTAACATTCTGAGATGGTTTAGGTAAATTTCCTAGTGAGCCTTATTTCCCAC